ACACACTTTCGTTTCATCATTGATTTACAGATTTACATACATTTTCTTGTATCATATCAAATATGGATGTTTCATTACACTAAATGTAGATATAATTGTTCTTTTAAACTGAAAAGTTGAAAATATCGTATGAGACATGCAGATATCGCAAGCGCCGCTCGGAACGAGAAAGTTAGCGCCCGTTGGCCGCGCGCACGTCCTCGAGTTGCCGGACTATTTAATTAATTCCCAGGCGAGTTTTAAAAACGCCATTCTGAAATTTTCACATTTTTTAGTAAATTTTCCAAGGAATCCGATAGTATTTGTAAAAAATAAATTAACTCCGGGTGTCATGGTCAAAATTAACTTTTAAGATTTAATTTGCAGAAAAAAGTATTTTTTTTTAAAGTTGAGGTTAGGAACATAATTTCATCAAAAAGCTGATGTAATAGCGTTTGAAATGAAAAAAAAAATTGTTCTACTATAAAAAACGACGTAGATACGACGACTTGAAAATTACCATAAAAGGCAAAACTCAAAATTTAAAATCGCTATTTCTTCGAAAATAGATTTTTTTAAAAAAAATCCCGATACACGTGTTCACTTATTTTATACCTACAATTGGTAAAAAAAGTTTGAAGCGATTTAAAAATGTCAAAAAAAAAGTGTTCGGTTTGTAAAAGAATGCCTCATATATATATGTACAATGTACCTATATACAGAGTAGGCTATTTTAATCTTTCCACGTTGATAACTCGAAAAGGAAGCATTTTTCCAAAAAAAAAAAAACAAAAGAGGAAAGTTGTGTGATTTTGAAGGGGGGAAGAAGTTAGTGATCTTAAATTTGATCTTGAAAGCATATTTAGCTCTCTAACTATTAGATAATCTGTCCACATAAAAAATTAACTAATTCTATGTAAGTTTTATTTAATAAGTTAACAATGTTCACATTAGTTAAGTTATATTTGCATTTCCTTAATTTCCAATTTACTTTGTTTACATAAGAAATGCTAATTCACTACAATAAATAATTTTGATGGAATTCTGTTGCCATTTTAATATGAGAATTTAGGAACGTTGACCATGCACTACTTTTTATTCTCAAGATAATTTTCTCAATTTACGTATCATGACATTTGATTATGACTTAAATACACTAAATGTAATTGTTTAATTAATTAATCACTTTACTGTAATCCTTTGTAATTACTGAAAATGACCCAAAACTGAGGTAGAAACATTTAATAGTTTAATCGTCTTTAATCCATACTTTAATAAAAAATTTGTATATGCAGGGTGTTAGTTAAGTATGTTTCCAAACTCAACAGAGCGATTCTTTGGTTTATTTCAAGTAAAAAAGTCCATATAAACATGTGTCCTAAATGGTTTAGTTTCCGAAATAAAAAAATTTAAACATGTAGTATACTGAGAAAAAAAAGTTGTTAACTTGACTAAATGCGTTTAGTTCGTAATGATTATTTAGTTCAAATGTTTATATATTTAGATTAACAAAACCTTGTAATTTAAAACATGTTATTTGTTTGAATTAACAAATATTTAGTTGAATTAAGCAAAATATTTGCTTAACAGTTCGTGATCGCTACATTTAGTTGAATCAACTAATATTTTTTTGAAACAGCTATTTTTTCTCAGTGTAATAATCTGTTTATTTGAAAGAAATACAACTTGAACTAGTCAAAAATTAGTCAAAAACAGAAAAATAAAAACAGGCTTCAGTTCTTCTGACAAAAGAAAACAATTAGATGAATTGTTGAAAATGTCCACCTTGCACCATGATACATCCATTGAGCCTTCTTTTCAAAGATTGACGTACACGCTCAAAGATACCAGGTGTGTTATGTATTGCCTCGCATGAAGCAACTATTCGATTCCTCAAATCATTCTCATTCTCAATTGGGGTGGTATAAACCAATGATTTCTCCAACGCAATTTATCGTTTCGTCAAATATTTGCGAACATTCACCTGTATTTCGGAAACTAAGTCGTTTAGGACACATGTTTATATGGACTTTTTTACTTGAAATAAACCAAAGAATCGCTCTGTTGAATTTGGGAGTATACTTAACTAACACTCTGTATATATACACATGAACATCTAGTAATGGCTCTTATATGCATCTGCAATTTTCAATAATTTAATATCAGCGAATTCAGATGTATTAATGCATATTAAAGCCGTTGTATACTGATTTAATCTGTGTCAAAATTAAATGCAAATATATTGAATTCTAAAATACAAATGTTATTAACAGCACAATAAAATGTATTGATGATTTTAATCCGTTTTTATATTAAACAATTTGTGTACAACGCGACGGTTTTAATATGTATTAATGTGCACAGAGCATGTATGGTGGAAGTAACAAGGTATGCTTCTGCACAAGTATTTTTACAGATTTTTACTTCTACCAAGGCACAGAGTGCATCCAATCGAATTTGCTACATGTGAAGAAAAATAAAACAGAATTGAAAAAATTAATAACAATCGACATAAGATATGTAAAGAAAATCACACGCGCGGATCTGAAATTAAAATTTATAATTAAATATTTAACTGTATTTTAAATGTATATATGGGAGGGCTCCGATTGCACACATCGCATATTGCACACATGTATCGCTGATTGGCCAATTTAAAAATAAAATAATCTCATTGGCAAAACAGTGAAAAATTACTAGGCACCAGTTGATATGAGTGGTGTGTACAATCAGAACTGTAGGCAAACGGGATCCTCCCGTATATATACTATATGTTCTAAGCGAGTATTTATTAGGAAGTTTTTGCAGTAACATGGATCCAGATACGCTAAAGTCACGTTATCCTTTTCTTAATTAGTTGTTAAGAAGAAGATAACCTGACCTTAGCATTCATCGTATCTGGATAAATGGTATTACAAAAACTCTTTATTATCCATATTTTACGCATTAACCTCGTGCCTTTTGATATTCATTATATAAATATATTCAACGCGGATATAAATTATATATAGTGTTATCTGTTTTTTTGTAAACGTGATGACATATTATCTAAAGCTAAAGATTACTTTTTTATATTTCAGATTATAGCCATTGAGTCATCGGCGTAATCGTCAGTCGCTACTCTGTAAGTTGTAAAATAGCTTCGGCATACTGCGATTCAGAAATGACAAGCTGAACGATCGATAGCCTTAGTCGCAGAGAAGCCGCGCAACGAGCTCGACGAGCAAAAGCTGTGAATTTATCTTTACGCAACAAGTATAACGCACACGAGGTCTGTGTATATAGTGCCAATATGACATATTTACAATCAATTGGGGAAGTAATTGGCTTCCTGTTATTGTCGACCTTCTCGATATTGGATGGCATTATCAAGTCACTCATTCCGAAGAAGTATAAAATGAAGAATATAGGTGGCGAAATTGCCCTGGTAACAGGGGGAGGTGGAGGATTGGGGAGACTTCTTTCCCTCAGGCTGGCCAACTTAGGCGCCATTGTAATTATTTGGGATATAAATGAGACCGGTGAGTCTAAAATATAGGAATGAGGGAAGTAACGAGTTACTAACAATTTACTTAATTAACACTAACAACTTATCATTATTATTGTTTTTTTACAATAGCAATTTAATAATTTTATAATTTTTCGTGACAATAAAGTCGAAGATGAAAAACTCACTTTTGAAGAGTAACTCATTATTATTACGTCATGTTATTCATTAAAAAAAAAGTAACTCGTTACTTTACTTATTACGTAACAAGTAAAAGTGAATTAATATAACGAGTTCTTTCCAAACATGTCGTTAGCATTATCGCCATGAAAACATGTAAAGTCACACATTATCAAATCATTATTATAGAAAATGATAACGACGTTACAGTTCAATCAGCAGATAATGTCTATAAAAATATTTAAAAACATTTAAAAAATATCTTTGAAAACGTTTTTTAAAAATGTTAAAAATAATAGATTAAGTTATCTTCACTTATTTTCATTTAAAAACGTTTGTTCAATCGTTGAACATTTTTTAAGATTAAAAGAAAATGTCTTTTTAATGTTAAAAATAGTCTTTTTAACATTTGAAGGAAATGTTTTCAATATTTAAACAAAATTAGAAAAAGTATATATATTACAAATATTTTTTTATTTATTATTTTTTTATCAACGATGCCTAAATCTTAAATAATTTTTATCAATTAATTGTAATTTTTCATTACACTTTAATTTTCTTTTTTTACATAACGGAATTTGAACATGGGACATCAAAATTAGAAGTTTTTTGTACTTTATCCGTTACGCCACTTAATTTAAAGTATTAATATATACAGTTCTTATTGTCTATATATGGTACTTAAGGGGATGCTGGAGCCGCCTATATATTATCAATAAAACTAGCGTTTTTGACAATTTTGTTCTTGTCGAATTTCTTCGTAATTGTTTCACGGAATAAAAATTTCTTTTCTACGATTAAAATGTACTTGTCGCTGGTTTATTTTTTTTTTATTCAAAGTTGGAAAAATAAAAAATTACAAATTTTTTCGCATACTAGTACAGAACTCGGTAACTTTGTACTACATGAACTCGCAATGAAATGAACAGACCAATATTGTAATATCAACGCAAAAATCATCTATGTCACAAGAAAACATATTAGTTGCATACATTCAAATAATGTATATTACTTGATCATCGAATACCATTATGACTGAGTTAAACTTAGTTAAACTTTAAGTTCTCTATTTTTATTGTTAATCGACTAGAAATAAATTATTATTGTAGATTAGAACATTATATATTGAACATATTGGGCTGCGTTCGGATTCCCATCCGAGTGCTCCTTGGGTGTCATGTCATCTTTGTTTAACGTTCGGTAAACAACAAGGATGATATGATATCCGGGGAGCACCCAGGGAATCCAAACGCAGCCCTGAAGACGGCCGAATATCGGTCGAAACGTTTATAATTTTGTAATAATAACTTTAAATATATGATATCGCTTCTACACTGAGAAAAAAATGCTGTTGATTTAATTAAAGTCTATATTACAGGCTGTCACTAACATAAGTGATTAATTCATGCGTATATTTTATTGATATAAAGGCTTGATTATTGAAATAATAATTTATGTCTTTGTATCAATAAAAATATACATGAATTAATCACTTATGTTAGTGACAACCCGTAATATAGACTTTAATTGAATCAACATTTTTTTCTCAGTGTAATAAGCGGCGTTTTGGCTGAATGCTCCTTTTTCAAATATTGTTTATAATTATCAAGCCAATTTTTACTTCTATTTTGTAATTACAGGTTTCTTTATCCATTTTATCTTCAGCGTTAGTTGCCATACTCAGATAAAAGTGTAAAGAAATCTGTAATTTTTTATTTTTTCTATCTTTGGACACGAAATACACCAGCGACAACTACATTAGTATGTAATTTTAATCATGGAAAAGGAATTTTTATATGAAACATTACGAAGAAATTCGACAGAAACACAAACGTCAAAAATGCTGGTTTTATTGATAATACAGGCGGCTCCAGCATCTCCTTAATGTAATTACGATTACTTCTCCTCCGTGGCTATTTTTTATTCTGATCCAATTTTGACTAATTTGAGTTTTAGAAAATATTAAAATATTAAATATTTTTATAATAAAAACGTTAAATAAAGATTTAAAAAATGTTTCTTCGAATCATATAAGATCCGCGTGTACGTTATCGATTGAAATAAATGTTAAACAAATGTTTACCACATTACAAATGAATAAATAATTAAAAATAAACATTTGATAAACATAAAATAAATGTTAAAAAATATTTACTAAAATCATTTGCTCACATGAATAATTCGTGAAAAATAAATACTTGAAAAATAAAATAATAAATAAACGGTTAAAAACGTTTTTTTTAGAAATCATTTTAAATAAAGGTAAATATGCAGTTTTTTTACACCTTATCGATTTGAGCAAAATTATATACATTCAATATATATATTATACAGAATATTATTGTATAAGTGACCACAATACAATTATTTAGAAAATGAAAGGATATAATATACATAATATAAATATATAATTTTGTACGATAAAGTAAATATTTGATAAAAGTTGTATTGTTTTAACGAGTACAACGATGTATGATATAATAAAGTTATTATACAAGTTATTTCCGTTTAAAGTTTGGCGGGCGATTATTACCTTTTCAGTTTCGGTCCTGCGGTGTGGCCAATTTCCGACTCGTGCATTGCCGATTGACATGATCAGACGAAAACATATTACATGTCAATCGTTAATGCGAGTTGGAAGCACTGAAATATAATAATACTACTGGAACGAACGCTGGAATTATGCTGCCTTTATTAAGAGTGATCCAAGAAGGAGTGTTACAAGTGGTATCTTTGTCCTTTTCTAATCTGTACTCAGTTATAATTGCGCATGTGCAGTAGACGGTATTGCACATGCGCAATCATAGTTGAGTGTAAATTAGAAAAGGATAAAAATACCATTTGAAACGCTCTTTGTCAGATCGCGAAACCAATGCCAGCGCTCGTCCCAGTTTATATTTTAGAAATTGGCTATACCATAGAGCCGAAACTAAAAAGGTATAAGTAGTCATCCGTTAAATTTTAAACCGAATAACTTGAATTTGTTAAATAATTTTATTATATCATATATCGTTATACTCGTTAGAACGATATAACTATTATCAAAATATTTATTTTATACAAAAATTATGCATATTGCTCCGTTTTCTAAAACATAAATAATTTTTTCAGTATTGACTATGCTTACAATAAAGTTTAGTTAGAGTCGTTTACTTATATTTATTAGGACATTAGATCTATCTCTGTTAGTTTATAAGATAAAAAGAAGTCACTTGTATGATGACACTTTGTATATATGGGCGGTATTCATAGTCCGTTCTTATTTCAAGACTGTCTTAAATAATATTTTAAGACGCTAATACAGCCCTCTGATTGGTTCGTGACTTCTTAAAACTGTATTTAAGATGGTCTTGAATATAAGATCTGACTGTGAATACTGGCCTATATTAAGGGCAAAGTTCACATAACGAACAGTGTCGGCATTGTTTGAGTTGCATTGTCCGGTTCATGTTAATATCGCTCAACGTGATTAGATTGGACAATGTCGACTCTCGTCCCGGACATAGAGGGTATAAACAAAGTGGAGCCAATCAGCATTCTTTCTTTTATAAAATTACTTTTTAGTACGAATGCACAGAATCGTAAAAAATAAGCTACAAGAATTCGCAATAAAAAATGGAGGGTTCCATTAAAAAACTTGTATGTAACATGGATTTGACCTTAAGGACTTCTTATCAAGGTGAACCAAGGTCACCATTTTTTTCCCCCTTGAAATCATAAAACTTTTGTCTGAAATATTTTTTAGAAAAATTTGTCCTTTTCGAGATATTCGCGTGTATTGATTAAAATGGCCTACCCTTATATTACGTATATATATTTCCAGTAAAATTTTCGAGTAAAAAAAAAGGATTGTATTTTAATATAGTAGATCAAAGATGGAGGACATTTGCGCTACTTTGGTGTATCTAGAGCTTTATTCCCAAGCAGCACACAGCGTCTAAAAAAAGCAATAAAAAGTGTATATAAGCGTTTTATTAGCGCTTTACGTGGGGTCTACAATATAGAAGTCGTAGCGGTCGTAGGATCTTAAGTCGTAGAAAATTAATCAATCACAGTTCAATATGAAAAGAATAATCTACTATGATTGGTGAATTTTCTAAGACAACCCTTGTACGACCGCTACGACTTCTATTGTAGACCCCGTATTACAAGGGCTGCTGTACTACTTAATTGTAAAGTCACTATAAAGTACCGCAATTGATATGTCTGAAAATCGAGTTCACATTATTTGTCGTCATTTTTAGGTCATTTTGACGTCAAAATGATGATAAATAATGTCAGTTTGTTTATAGGATAAATGTCACTTTTACATCAATTGTCGACGTCATTATGATGTAACAATAATGACATTAATAGACTTTGATAATCACGTTCATGTCATAGCGACGTTTAAATGACGTCGTTGACAAGAAACTGACAACATTTACGGGCCGAAAAAATGACGTTATTTTGACGTAACATTGTTCGCTGGGTATTATATTATATTCATATATCAACATGTAAATACATACAATCATATCATATTATCTAAAATATTAACTCCAGCTATAATTTGACCCTGACAGCATGAGTAGTACGTGGAGAGGATACAGAACGTACAAGTGGACTATAAAAGCAAGAGCGGACCACTTATTACTATAAACAACTGAAAGAGCTTATTTTTTATTGATTGTATATCGCAGCATTTATTTGAACACATACACGTACGTACACACACGCACGCACGCACGCACGCTTTCCCATCCACTCAGAAACACGCTTGTTCGTGCGAAGCCTTATCTTCCTCTCCGTGGCTTTTGTTGTCGCAAAATCTAGATGACATCAATAACTCTGCGAAAAGAATCGTAGAGACCTCGGCCACTCCACGTTGGTTTCTTCGCGGAACTCTCTTTCAAACGAGTCCTCACTTGATCTCACATGCCATTTAAAATTTTCTGACCCCCTCTGCCACCGCCCTCTGGAGGTGTTAAAGTATAATATGCTTTCGAGGTGTAAAATAGATTTGATAATTTCATTGTACCTCTATAAGTTCTAATCCTATGTCTTGAACCATTCAGAAATTATTTAGGTGACCCAGGCACTTTTGGTGGGCACTATGTATTCAAAATTTCAATAAACATTTATGTTTTAATTATTATTAAGAAAAATTGATTCTAATAAAAGTATCGTAGGACATTATTGTATTTTTATGTACTATGAAAAAAGCAATTACTCTTCAGGCGAGAAGCCAAATAGCAGGAAAGAGCTACAAAGAATGGAACTTTCTATTAACAGATCTTTACACACGATATACAGGATGAGTAAAAAGTTTCGGACCGGTGAAATATCTCGAAAACTAAGTATTTCCGAAAAAAATGTGTCCTACAAAAATTGTAGGGTTTTAAATGACCTATTCACTGATCTAGTCAGTCTGACTTTGGCGTCGCCAAGGTCAGATCAAGGTCACATTGATTTTTTTTTAAATAGCACACCCTATTTTTTATTTCAGAATCTAATAGTTAGTCAAGAGCTTTTTAAAACACTACAATAAAGTTATTTTTCATAAATAACTTTATTGTAGTGTTTTGAAAAGCTTTTGACACTAGCTATTAGATTCTAAAATTAAAAATAGGGTATACTATTTAAAAAAATTGATGTGACCTTGACCTGACCTTGGTGACGCCACCCAAGGTCAGACTGACTAGATCAATGAATAGATTATTTAAAACTCTGTAACTTTTGCAGGAAACAATAAGAATATTATTTTAGACCGTAAATGTGTGAAACACAATCGATAAACTAGAAATCTATATCGATCGAAGCTAGATCTTTAATGCATTAAAATAATTCAGTGTGAATTATATACATATATACTATATGTATCTGTACATACACATACTCGTAAATACCATATTTGTAATTATTTAAATTGCGCGCCGAATTAGTTTTCCGGATTTATAAACGCAATTAAGCTATTGTAATAATATCACGAATTAAATTAAATTGTTATTTATTTACAAATGATTTGTTTACACATATGTTTAATAAATTTTTAACACCACTTGAAAATGAAAGATATTAGTAAAGACACATATAATATTAAGAAAATATATTAAAATTATTAAAAGTTATTTAATAATTTTTATTTTTTTGCAAACCCAAAAATAATAAAATTTATATTTATTATATAATTAAAATGATTATAATTTCTCGTGTGTGTGTGTGTGTGCGTGCGTGCGTGCAAAGTATTATTTTTTAAATATTAGGTGTAATTATTACCATGATGGAAAAATTTATCCAAATGTGTCCAAAATTGTCCGAAATGTAGAGTCAAAATGTGTTTGAATTCATTCTAAATTTCTTTCTAAATTGTTTTAATTTAAAATTGTTGAAATATATAAATTCGTATAAATTCAGATAAATTCGGACAAATTCGTATAATTACAAACAAAATCAGATATTTTCCGTTAAGTTTCGACAATATCTGTCTAAATATATCAGAATTTATCATTTTTTTTCATATTTTTCAGACAAACTCTCACAAAGAACCCGCACAAATCTTATGGGAATTTTTCAGTCGAATTGGCTGAAAATTTGATATGTTGTAGATCTTGTCCTGATAAAAAGTTTCCACAGGCACGATCCCCTATAATGAATCGTTTCATTTTTACGAGGTGTCATTTTTTAAAACGAGCTAATACTACAATATCTTATTTTCAACGAGTACGGTGCATTCCTATGTCATTATTTGAAATTTTTGTATATATTTTTGAGTAAAAAAATGTTATAAAGATAATATTGAATTGATTGCTTCTTATAAAAAAGTTATAAAGGTATCGAAATCGATAACTTGATTTTAGAGATTTAAGAATTGGAAAGAGTAAGGGCACTAGGAGTCGGGCGCAGAAGACGTCGCGCAAATAATACACTTATAAAGATTGTGTGTTTGCTCTGAAGAAGGCTAAAAAATGAGTCGGAACATGTAAGCGCGTTTAGTGAATAAAGAAGTTTCACTCTTTATAAGTGTATTATTTGCGCGACGTCTTCTGCGCCCGACTCCTAATGCCCTTACTCTTTCCAATTCTTTGATTTGTAAGGAGTCTTGATTAGTTTGATTTATTAACGGATTTAGAGATTTAATCATCCCGATTGTAAGAGGCAAGGGGACTCACAATAATCAAGCATCTCGATTTATGAGAGACGAGGGGACTCCAAATAAACAAGCACCTCAATTTGTAAGAGGCAAGGAGACTCACAATAATCAAGCACTCCGAATTGTGAGAACCAATCAATATTATCTTTATAACTTTTTACTTCAAAATATAAATAGAAAATGCAAATAATAATATAGGAATGCACCGTACTGATGTAGGAATGCATGTTGAAAATAAGATATTGTATAGTATTGGCCCGTTTTAAAAAATGAGTCGTAGAAATGAAACGGTTCATTATAATCGTGCCTGTGGAGACTTTTTATCAGGACAACAAGATCTATAACATATCAAATTTTCAGCCAATTCGACCGAAATTCAATTTTCATAAGGTTTGTGCGTGGTCCTTTTTTGCACCAGGGCAGTGTGTAATGCTTATACATGTATAATCAAAAATTTTTTATAGAGATAGGAATAATGGATCACTATTTCTTCTAAAATAGAACATTGCTTGTAAGTCTGCAATGTTATAACGAAGTAGATTAGAATCAAGAAGAAAGCAACAACGATTTTGTAATAATCGCGTTCAGCAGAATGTTTATTTTGTAATTGTTGAAAATTTTCTACACCCTGATTGGATTATGTTTTCAGGTGTAAAAGTATAATCCAATGAGCGCGAAGAAAACTTTCAAACAGTAGGAAAATAAACATTCTGCTGAACGCAACTAATGTAAAAATATTACTTTTCTTTTTTCCTGGGACTTTCTTCTGTCTTGTAAATGACTTGTAGTATTTCACTTATACTTCATAATACAAATTTGTTTTCCGAGTAGAAGATGTAAAACGTGCACGTAATTATTGCTGTTGAAATACTATATAAGTAAAGCATAAGACATATAGCGTTTTCAAACAGTTTTCATTTTATTTCAGCCATTGAGGAAACTGTTAAACTTGTTCGGGCGGCCGGAGGTACGTGTTATGGCTACGTTTGCGACTTGTGCGATCGGACAGACATATATAAAAAGGCCAAAATTATCAGGGAAGAGATCGGCAAGGTAAACACAATTATTACGTATTTTGCAGGTTGGCAAGTAACGAGTTACTCGTAATGCCGTTTCCTTGTTATAGTAACGATTTGATAATGACATGGTGAACTTTTTTTATGACGGTAATGCTAATTATCAGAGTTAGAAAAGTCAATTGTTACTTGTAATGGGTTAAAAAAGTCATTCGTTACTGAAAAAAATAACTCCTAATTTGTAACGCGTTACTTTTTATTCATTGCTTATTACCTTTTTTAGTAAGTAACGCGTAATGGTAACAAGTTACTTTTTAAAGTAACTTTTCTAACCTTAGCACAACCTTAACGTTTAGTTAATTAGCGTTACCATCATAAAAAATTGTAACATCATCATCAAATTGTTTACTATAAAAATTAACGACAAAGTAACTGAAAAGTAAAGTTTGCCAACTCTGGTATTTTAATAATGATATTGTTTTATGAAAGATTGAAATTATTCTAGTTCAAATAAGTATAAATATGCTACGTGTATGATAATGGTATCATCGCGTTTATCGCGTTCACGAAAAGTTATATCCAGTTAAAATTATTCTATTAATTATTTAGTAAAAATTATTCTATTAATTATTTAGTAAAATTAATGGAATAAAATTAATCGAAAATATGTTTGCTCGAAACATAATGTTGAAAGACAAATCAGCCGAAGGCTTCTCTTATCTAAAAATTCGCTTATTATAAATTATAATATCAATGCATCTAAGGGGTGCGTTCCGAGTTACGCATGAAGCGCATGATGCATCATTTGTTCTTGTTGTTCACCAAATAATAAAGAAAAATAAAACGATACATCATACGCTTCATGCGTAACTCGGAATGCATTCTAAGATTATTTTTTTTGTTATTAATTTTGATTTTTGTCGTGATTCGCGTTTGACAACATGAGTAGCTTACGAATGCTTGGTACAGCGTGAAAGAAGTGTCCTTTTAGGAAACGAATTATCTGCGATTAGCCAAGTTATTCATCACGCGACGAGAACTTTCCTGCGGACGATGTTATGAAATTGTTTATGTCACGCTATAGTATTGCGATACGCTGAGCTCGATATGTGAGTCCGACTTATTTTAAGAACTGCGAAAAACATGGCTTTTTGTCGTTTTAGATATACCTCTGACACTTTGTGTTCAAAAGTATAGTATGTATTATGCGTACTTTCTCTAATCGTTATTTTTACTTGAGTGTAAAGTATTCATTTCTTTGCAAGCACAAAAAATTCGTACAAGCTTGAAACAACACTTTCAATAAAAAACAATTATTTTTTCTTATTTTATTTATTTTACTTACAATTATATATATATATATATATACATATATATATAGATAATATATTATAGGTTACGGTTCTTATCAATAATGCGGGTATCGTTACGGGAATGAAATTTCTGGACACTCCGGACGAACTTATTATCAGGACGATGGACGTTAATATCATGAGCCACTTTTGGGTAAGTAGAAAGTTATTCCTCGCACAAAATTATTCCAATCGCCGGAGTAAATTATCTCGTGTTATTTATATTGGTGCCGAGAAATTGAACGCCGTTATAGCGAATGTGATTTCATTTACCGCGAAATTATTTGATATCTGAATTATATCAATTACTATTAGGAATAATTTGAAAATTTTTTTGAGTCAAAGAAAATAGAATCGAGATATTGTCGGGATACTACGAAAAGAGGTCTTATTCGTTCTTAGCCTTTCGCGCATAGATTTTTTACAACAAGTCATTGATTGCGAAATAATTAAATCGATCAAATCGATCGAAATATGCGACTAATATTTTTAATTGTACGATTTACCACAAATCCACAAATTGAGTTCGAATTCAAGAAGTATCGCGAGCTGCCGTCTCATTCGGTTATCCAGGAGAATCAACGGAGAAAGGCATTCCATTTCGTTCCTCTCGTTTGTTGCCGTTGGTCAGGTGCAAGAACCGGTCAGATAAGTTGCGACGAACAAGCGGTGCTGTAGTATACTGTAGCATAGTCTGTGTGTTGCGACACGCATGAGCTAGCGGCACGCTTGCCAAACACAAATAATTCCTTAATTCGAATTCCTACTTAATCGACGATCTGCTTACAGACTTTCAATCGTTTTGAATCGTTGTAAAATGTAATTACGTTGATTTTACTCTTGTGCATATATTATATTCACTCGATATATTATTACTCATTATAACTTTATGCTTCGTACAATACACACACATCAAAATCAAATATTTTAGTCCTAATAATTATCATATTGCGCAGTATATTCTCGATAATTTCTCTGCAATTTTTTTGTAGTATTATTCTTGTTCAGATATTCGTAGAGCTACTTAATTAAAATTTACAAAATATGATTTATCAGTGTTAATTATTACAGTAAAAAATGTGTTTGTTCACAAGAGCGGCTTAAAAATATATAAGATAAAAAATAAAATAATATTAACATCGATATCCATAGTCGATCCTTATGTTTGAGATTATCTTAAGTACAATCTTAGTTATAAATCAATAATACATAGATGCATGCATATGTATATTTTAATTTACACGTGAACATCCTGTGTTGACTCATATTGACATTATTTAATTTGATAGATTTAGGCCCGGTTGTTCCACCTTTTGATAAATTTTACCTGATGAGTAAGTAGCAAGATTACCCAATTATATACACGGATTGCCAGATTTACATAGCAGATAAAATTTACCAAAAGGTGGAACAATCGGCCGTTAATCACTTGAGCCTGTTTCTTTTATTTTTAGTTTTACATATATAATATATGCATATATATGTATATTTGTATAAATATGTACATATATGCCATATATTAACTTGTATATATATTTAGATTAGTATTTATATTTCTTATTTTAAGACCTTGGTAAGTAATCTTTTAAAGATGCTAATACAGCTCTCTGATTAGTTCATGATATTTTAAGATTGTATTATACTTAAGATTGAACTTAAAAAAGACTTAAATATATACATAAGCACATGTATAATTGATATACAGGGTGTCCCGAATTTAAATGTTAAACTTCGTTGTATATACACACACGCTCGCGCGCGCGCACGCACGCACTCGGAGCAATGTTCTTGACATCTTTGTGACACACATACTATCAGGATAACGATGATAGAGCGTGATGGAACCTGTCTTCGATAAGAATGATACAACATAACTACTTAATAATCATCTCTGTCAACGTAAAGAATAATAATTCACATGTAGGGTATAGATAATCCAACAGTGAACCAATAGTACATTATGAACTATTGTGATATTTCATAAATGCGACGTTACCAGATTATACTGTTATTATGCAACGACTCGCATTTGAACCTCTCCTCGACTCCTCAGTCGACTGGCAGATCGTGTCAAAGACGGCTATGTAATATCACATTTTAAGAATTTTGGGTTGCAAAGTAAATTTTTTTCGTAAGTTTTATGCATTTTTTATATTTTTGTTGTTATATCTATCATTTTTTTCATTGTGCGTTAGTTTTGTATGCACATTTGGCTTTATTATTCTGTAAGTAACTTTTTTCTGTTGTATTATTTTATCACATTATTTTGGAGATTATTGTGGAAAAGGTTAGATCTACAATGAATCATTTTGATATAGTGAACAATGAACCATGGTTCATTGTAGATCAATCACATAACCTTTTTAATGATAACCTTCAAAATAATTATTCATTGTGGTAATCATTTAGAATACGGCCCCTTCTCCACTTAAAATCTCGGGAAAAAATATTTTATATTTAATTATATATAATTTTATATGTAAGTTTATATATAATTATATATAAATGGATATATTTTTTTTATATATAATTGTATAATTATATAAATTTTTATATAATTATATACAATTATATATAATAGAATAGAATAGAATTTATTTCACTTCAGCATACATCGCCAAGAAGGGGACTTGGTTTACAATAGGGTCCTTAATTCATTCATCCATCCATACCTTTCAGAGCTCTATAGCCTATTACTATCACTTCCTTCATACTCTCTCTTCGTAATAATAATATATTATTATCTTACTGTACTCTCTTCACAATAATTACTGACAATACTATTTCTACTTATCCTAGATCACAACTCATTTCACAACCCTATGCATAGTCTTCGCACTTACGCACTTACTTCTATTTTCGCAGTTCCTATTTAGTTCTTACTGTCCTATTTGCCCTTTTAGTATCCTAACCTTTGTTCTTACTCGTACGTCCTTCCAGCCTCTTCTGTCTGTCACTTTTTCCTTCCCCTCTTTCCTCTCCTGTACCCTTTTCTCTCTATCCCTCCACAGTCTCCTTAACATCTCTCCTTTAGTCTTGTCTAAATTTTCCTCCCACAATCTCCCTAATACATTACTTCCTTTTTCACCTAATTCAATAAATCTATCTTTAACTTTCTCACATTCTCTCACATAATGCTCCAAATTGTCCCTCCCTCTACCACATCATACACAATTCCTACTTTCTTCTAGCCGATACTTGTCCTCTTTTAAATTTTCGCACCTTAAGTTTATCAAGGCCCTCACTTCATCCTCTCTACTCCATTCCTTCAGATTTTCTTGTTTAAGGTATGCTGGGATTCCGCAGTCTAAACTTATTTCCTTGTATTTCTTATTATATCTAGCTCTTATAATTCTACTATCTTCCCACTGTCTTTGTGTCTCCCTTTTTTTATTAATTAATCCTTCATTGCTTCTATCCGCCATCCATTTCTATTATAGTACCTTTCCCTCTCTCTGCCGTATGTATCCCACTCATAACGCTCTTTCTCTTCCCAGCATACCCTCATTAGGTTCCCTACTCTCCCTTCCCTAATCTTTTCCTCATACCTCCTTGCCCTACCTAATACCGCACCCTACTTTTAACTTATCCATAGCCAGTTCCCTCATTATTATATATCTTAGAGTGCTAAAGTCTAGATTAAAAATCCATCTGATGTAATCCATCATTACCTTTTCTAGTTCCTCCATTTCCTCCCATCCCCATATCTCAACCCCGTAAGCCATTACACTCTGTACTAAGTATCTGAATAATATCCATCTCCTCTTAATTTTCATTCTTTTTCCTAATCCCCACACTTTTCTTGCCATCATTTCCCCTTTTCTGCATAGCTCCTTAACCAGGTCCTTGTTATTTCCTCTCTATTTATGACAAAACCTAAATATTTAAAATCCTGCACTTCCTCTATTTCTTTCTTACCCCATTTCCAAATTTCTATCCTCTCTCTAGCTTTTCGATTATATACTAACACCTTTGTTTTTTCCGCACACAATTCTAAACACCTTTCTACTAAAAATCTTTTGAGTGTATCCATCATATCCTATAAAGGTATCCTATTTTTCGCCATTAATACTATACATGGTCCGCATATGCTAAATTTCATATCCTATCCCGTCCTAATTCCACCGCCTATATTTCTCTTCCTTAATTCTAGGTCTAAATCCGCAATATATAAATTGAATAAGAGTGGACTCATTATACACCCCTGTCTCACGCCCTTCTTTGTAGAGAAACTTCTTATGTTTTCTGACCTTGTTTTTACTGTTACATTTGTTTCTTCATATATCTTCTCAATTCCTCTTACCAGCTCCTTACTTATCTCCTTCCTCCTCATAATTTCCCATAACTTATTTTTGTCTGCCTTGTCAAAGGTTGCCTTAAGTCCGCAATCATCACGTAAATTTTCCCAGTTCCTCCGTCTCTTCTTCTCTCCCTTTGTATAATGTGGAACAGCACAAAAATGTTGTCCATCGTCGATCTTTTTCTTCTGAAACCTGTTTGTTTCTCCGGAATTATTCTTTTTCCTTCTACTTCTCTCTCCAGTCTATTCCTCAGTATTTCCGCATAAATCTTGTACGCCGTACATAGTAGCGATATCCCTCTGTAGTTTTTGATCTCTTCCTTATTCCCTCTTTTATATAAAGGCACCACTATGCTTCTCTTCCAATCCCTGGGTATTCTGCTTTGCCTCCATACCATCTTCAGTAGAGATACCATTTTTTTTCTTTAAGTCTTCTCCTGCGTAAATCCATGCTTCCATCGGTATACCATCTATACCTGCTGCTTTTTTCTTTTCGATTTTTCCTATTGCCTTATTTATCTCTCCTTTCTTTAGTTCTTCTTCCCTCAACTTTTTTTCCTCTCTGACATCCTTCTCATCTGTATTTTCCTCCTCCACACTGTCCAGCAAACTCATGATGTAGCTCTTTCTTCTTCCTTATTGATGCTGTTATCTAGCTATGTCCTCTTTCCTCTCTTTTTATTTATAAATTTCCATATGTCCCCGCCTCTTTTTTTAAATTTCTCAATTCCTCCTCTTCTTTCTCCCTTTTTTCCTTTTGTTTCCAGTAGTTCCTTATATTTGTTTCTTTCTTCCATATATCTTCTCCTCTCTATTTTTCCTTTTCTCCAGCTCCAGTAAATCCTTTTCACCTTTCTCTTCCCCCACGTGCATCTTCTGTCCCACCAGTCTTTGTATCCTAGGTCTCTCTTCTTCCTCCTTATCCTCTTCTTTATCAGTGCCCTATATATACCATATTTTTAATCTCTTCCCATTTTCTTTCTATATCATCCTCCTCGTGCGTCTCCTTATTCTTATCATCACTTTGCTGCTCTGTTTTTTCTCTGTACATCCTTATTACTTTTTTGTCCCAGACTATAATTTCATCCACCTTCTCTTCTTCCTGTTCTTCTTCTTATCCTGTTTTCTCTTCTCCTCCTTCCTTAACCCTTAAGCAAATCGGCATGTAATCTGAGTTCACTCTTGCCTCTATCTTTAAACTATAGTTTTCTCCGTTACATTCTCGTTGACCCATACATAATCTATTACTGAACTACCTCTCGCACTTACATATATATTCTCCCTCCCAATCGCCTTCTGTCCTCCTGTTTAAAACTTGTAGCCCCTTATCCATAGCCCATTCTACAAAACTTCTTGCTCCATTACCTATCGACTTATCCTTACTATATCTCTCTTTGCCTTCCCCTTCCATCTCCGTACCTCCTAGTACGCTCTCTCATCTATCCTTATGTTGAAAAATCCCCCCTATTATTAGATTTTTCTCCCCTCCTTCCTCTATACATTCCTCTAATTTATCTTTTATGCCTTTAGCTCCTTTTTTACCCTGCTCTCCGGACATCGATATAATCTTTATATTTTCTTTATTTATTCTAAATTCGGAGCTTACAATACCCTTCCCTTCTTTTTGAATAAACTTTACTTCCGGTTTACCCCAGTTTTTTCTTTTTCCTATTATAAAACCACCTTTAGTTCTCCCTCTTCTACCTTCTTTCCTTGCAAAGTTACATAACCATATGTGAGACTTAGATAACCTCCTTTTTAGATAATCCTACCCTTTTTCCTCCACTCACATCTCGCACAAACTCACGAAATCAAAACTTTTTACATATCTCCAAAAATTCCTATCCTTATTCCCAATCCCTGCGCAGTTCCAAAATAGCAACTGTCTTTATCTTTCCTTTTTGTCTTTTCCTTTTTGTCTACCCCTTCTTCTCCTGCCCCTTTCCCTTTCCCATTGCCTCCACTTTATCTTTATACCCCTATTTCTACCTCCTTTTATTCTTTTCCTGCCTTTCCCCGACTGTCCTTCTTGGCTTAGCTAAAATTCTTTTCTTCTTCACTCTTGCTTTTAAGAAGATGCTGAACTGAAGCAGATTATTCACATTTACAATTACTCTGCTATCTTTGAATTAGCTGTACAGAATTGTAAAAATCTTATGTACAATTAAAAAGACATGTTAAGGAATAGTGTTGGTTTTATGCTAAGAATCCCCTTAAAAGTTAACTGTGAGTTGCAGAACTGAGCTTTTAGTTGCTAATACGGCCTTCTGATTGGTTCATGACATCTTAAGATTTAAATAGTACTTAATAGTCTTAGACATAAGAATCGACTATGAATACCGGCTTTAAAAAGTTTAGAAACAGGAACTGTAATTATAGAACTGATGGTTATGTACAAAGACTTGGAAATGTTACGCGGAACCAATTTAGATCTTGTCAACTCTCTCATCATCCAGGGACCAGGAAAGAATTAGAGAGCCTCACAGAGAGAGAATGGCAAATTGTAGCGCGTGAATGCCCACATCCAATTAAGACGGGGATCACGTGACCAATTTTCTCCAATTTCTTCCATGCCTATGGAGTTTTGATGCTCATGACCAATCAGAGGAGACGGGTCACGTGATGCAATTTGCCACTCTCTCCCAGTGAGGCTCTCTAACTAGAACTCAAAACATAAACTCACTCCTCTTCGCGATCTTCTTTCGAGCGCTTACGAACTCGGCGAAGTTTCACGGTTCGAGGACAATGCTTTGGGTAGCGCGGACGCGTAATATCAATGATTAGATAATAGAACTAATAAATACTAGAGCTCTTAAAAGGAACGAATAACGTAAAATTCGAGTATCCGCCCGCAGATCCGTTACCCATGCATACGGCTCTGGACCGGATATCTGCTAATTCGGGTACCCGCAGAACCGTGTACATACGATGCGAGTACTCGCAGAATTATCTGCAATATAGGTACTCGCGGAATCGTGGGCGATATAATACGGGTACCCGTTTCGATGCGGATATCCACTATATGCTACATATATCTGCGTGTAATCTTATCAATTTTAAAGGCGTTTTAGAATTGTTTATACTAATTTTTATTTTGTTTGTAGTTAAACAGTTTGAATTAAGAATGTACTAGTCGTACAATCCCTGCAAAGCAAATTAAATTTGGAAATGTGTTTAATGTTCATAATGCGAAAACGAAACAGTTTAGCTCCGGAATATTTTAATTACAAATGAAATAAGAATCACTACGAACGATTGTAAAACGCATACCTTTAAAATTTACAAAATTACACGCAGATATTTGTAGCATGTAGCGAATACTTGCATCAAAAACGGGTATCCGTATTGCCCACGATTCCTTGGATATCCGTATTGCACACGGTTCCACGAGTACTCGCATCGTACACGGTTCTGCGGGTACCCGAATTAGCGGATACTCGCGGAACCGGTCCAGATCCACACAAATAACGGAGCGGGAGGGCGGGTATTACGAGCTCTAATAAATACTTTGCCATAACTCTTTTTTAGACAGTAAAAGCTTTTCTTCCAACGATGCTGGAAAACAATAAAGGACATATCGTGAGCGTGGCCAGTTTAGCCGGTCAATGTGGGATTCCAAAATTGATAGACTATTGTGCATCCAAATTTGCGGCAATGGGATTTGATGAAGCTCTTCGAATGGAACTTGAGGTAACTATAATTTATTGAACAAGTTTTCAATAGATTCTAATATTGTCCCAATGAATTCAGTTTTTTCTTATTAAAAAAAAGATATTTTAAATGCAACTGTCACAAAAATAAAAAGAAAGAAAAAGAATGACAAAAAAAATATAACATAAACTAATTTTTATAGTAAACACCCTTGTAGAAAAGTACTACTGAGCACTAGGAGTATTTTGAGGCACTACTGTACTACAGCATTACAGCACTACTGTACTACAGCATTACAGCACTACTGTACTACTACACTACTGTAATAGAGAGTGCAGAAGTGTTCAGTAAGTCCGGATCTACAATAGAGTTTTAAGCCTTAAGCCATAAGAAATGGGCGAATCACAGTCGTTTATTCTTCTCGGATTCGACTGTAATTGGTCAATTTCTTACGGCTTAAGGCTTAAAACACCTATTGTAGATCCGGGGTAATACTGAGTAGTGCTAAGATCTATATATCCGCGTTTCGGCAAGATACAGAATGCAGGAAACGAGTATGCACAGAAACTAATTATTAATAACTCTATTTTAAAAAAAGCACTTTCAGAGACTCTACGAGCACACTCTGATCAAGTTGAGAGTAAGTGATGAATTTCATTTACATATGCCTATTTATAGGGATCCGCATCATTTTCTCCTTACGGAAAACGAGTCCATCTTGCGACGGTACTGCGTATTACACCGCTTGCTTGGCGGCGTCTATAGCGTACATATCAAAGACATAGAGAATGGACTGCGCGATCCGTGTGTCAAAATGGTCGATAGGGATGAGAGAGAGGGACCGTGGCAGACGGCCATTTCTATCTCTTTCCATTCAATGGTGTAATGGGAGAGAGACTGAGAGGGAGATTAGCCGTCTCCCACATAGGGTTGCCAACCGTCCGGTTTTGACCCGGACTGTCAGGTTTTCAGGAGTTTTGTCCGGTGTCCGGTTGACAAGTCAAATCGGACGTCATATGTCCGATTTGTAAGTACATCCAAATAATAAAATCAAATTTAGAGCGCTATAAGAAGTTATGTAACAGACCGCCCAATTTTCGTGGCGCTCCGCTACGACTACGTTCAAAAAGTGCACTCAAGTGCACCTAGATATCAGCTTGCTTTTGATATACACATGTGTAAAGGTTAGATTAGGATATCAACTAGATTCTTTAACATTAGCATTGTTTGAAATCTCCCAAAATTTCTAAACGAAGTAAATATATATACATATTCGGATATTGTAGAGAGAGAAAGCAAAGGTGCTAGCTCTGAAGAAAATGACTTACATGCTTACATCATAATCACACTAGCGATTGAGATTGAGATTGGATTTTAACCAATCAGAAGAAAAAGAAACTAATTAATCAAGTTTAGTATATTTTTGCTTTAATTGGTCAAATCCCGATCAATCTCAATCTCTAATGTGATTACTTTTGCTTTCTGGTTCATAAAAGTCATGTGTTCTTTCATGTAAGTAATTATTAAATAATTTGTTACAGGAACAATTATTAAACAATTTATTTAAATTTACTAAAAATAAATCAGCTAACTCCAAAGAAAAAATCAAAACGTTTCTGCTCTTTTAATGATAATTGGCTGAAGGATGAAAATTTCAAATCATGGCTTACAAAATATAACGAAGAATATGCAAAATGCATAATATGTAACATAAGTTTTACTGTAAAACATGATGGGATTAATGCGGTTAAACAACATTTAAATTCATTAAGACACAAAAATATGGACAATCAACAGAAACAAAACCAATTACTTCATAACTTTTTTGAAAATAAAAATACACCGGAAAATGAAGCTCTTAGTTTATGTGAACTTTTTTTTACATATCATTCAATCAAACATCACCATAGTTATAATAGTGCAGATTGTTTCACTAAAAATGCCAAAACATTTTTTTCAGATTTTAAATTAGCACAAAAATTACGGTGTGGTAGAACAAAAATGGAAGCAATAGTTAAAAATGTTTTGGCTAAAGCAAGTTTACAAGATGTTTTACATAATCTAAAGAATAATTCTGTTTCTCAAATTAAATCAATTAATGAACCTAGTACTTCAGTTGCATCTTCCACAGATACTTTTGATTCCATACCTTATTCATTTGCATGCGATGCTAGTAATCATGGTAATACAAAAATGTTTCCGTGTATTATTAGATATTTTACACCTGAGAAATCTGTTCAAAATAAAATTATTGAATTTTATGAAGATGCTAATGAAACAGCAATTGCAATTTCTCAAAAAATTACAGATATTTTAATTAAATCTGGTCTATCAACAAAGAACATGATTTCATTTTCAGCTGATAATGCTTCAGTAAATTTTGGCAAACATCATTCAGTATATAAACTTTTAAAAGATAAACATAATTCTGGACTTATTGCAGCTAACTGTTTGTGCCATGTACTGAATAATAGTATTAGGCAAGCAAATAAAAAACTGCCTTATGATATAGAGAATTTAGTTATCAAAGTTTATAATGAATTTTCTGTTAGCGCACATAATGTTGAACAACTACAAGAATGTTTTGATTTTGTAAATATCGAATACAAAAACATTCTTCGTCATGTTCCAACAAGATGGCTTTCTTTGTATCCAGCTGTGGATAGATTACTAAAATGTTGGCCAGCGATTAAAAGTTACTTTTTGGAACAAGACAATGTTCATCAAGTAATTTTAGATTTTATAAGTGATCGAAGCAATGAATCAAATAAAATTTCTTCATGTCTTACTCTTCTAGAATGTTATTTATATTTTATTCATAATATAATGAATTTATTTCATGTTTTAATTGCTAAACTTGAGAGTAATACTATGACTGTTATTGATTTGCATAATACTCTGTGTTGCTTTAAAGATAGTTTAAAGAGTCGAATAACAGAAAAATTTTTGGATTTAAAGTTAATCAAGCATTACCATCTTTAACAATAACTGAAAGAAATTCATTTGAAGAAAATGCTATTAACTTTTTATCTACATGTATTTTTTATCTTGAGAAGTGGTATAATTTCAAAGATAGCCCATTCCAATATTTTTCAAATCTTTGTCCCTCAAAACTTGAGTTATTTCAAGATATTGTAAAAGTAGCAGAATTCTCAAATTAGAATTTGATGGAGATCAGTTATATGAAGAATATATAATGTTAAAAACTGTTGCTCCTCATATCGATAAAAATCTATTTGTTGATCAACAATGGATAGATATTTTTTTAAAATGTAATTTTATTACCAATAATATACTAAAAATAGTTCAGGCTGTACTCTCAATACCAACGAGTAATACTTTCCCAGAAAGAGTGTTCAGCTTAATGGGACAAGTGTGGACAAAGTTAAGAAATAGAATGGAAGTGGAATTGATCAAAGCTGAATTATTTACTGTGATTAATTTTGATATGTCATGTAATGTGTGAATTCATAAATTATGCTAAATCTAAACCTAATTTATTGAAAGCAGTAAGAAATACGGAGAAATACAACTCGAAATGAACTCAAACTATAATTTAAAAAGTACAAGATTCGTATCACTAATTTTGTTTTTCGTGGTTGTACTTGTTTTACTTAATATTTTTATTTTTGTTCAAAGTTTTGTTTTAACAAATGTGAAAGATTTTTTAATATGTTAAACGTATTAAATGTTTTAACAAATGTTTATAACATATGTTAAAGGTAGTAATATATTTTGTAATAAAATAAAACATGGTATAACAAATGTTAAATGTTATATATATATAATATCAGGAGACGCGGTATAATATTATATAACATAATTTTATATTTAAAAATAAAATGTCTGATATTAAATGATATATAGTAGTTTATTTTTTATTTTATTTAACCAACTCTGTTTTCAAAATTGTTTGGAAAACAATTGTAATTATTATAATTTCTTACAAAATTTTGTATTTAATCTAATTTTATGATTATTGTTTATGTCCGGTTTTGTCCGGTTCGATTTTGTTTCCAAAAACGAAATACTCGGTAATTTACACTTTTGAATCTGGCAACCCTACTCCCACAGTCCCTCTCTCTCATTATTGTCGACCACATTTGATACATTACTGAGATACGGATCGCGCAGTTCATTCTCTATGTCTTTGGTACATATACTCTGCAAGCGGCATAATACGCAGTATCGTCGCAAGATGGACTCGTTTTCCGTAAGGAGAAAATGACGCGGATCTCTATAAATAGGCACATGTAAATTAAATCCGTCACTTACTTTCAGCTTGATCAGAGGTGCTCGTAGAGTCTCTGAAAGTGCTTCTTTTTAAATAAAGTTATTAATAGTTAGTTTCTGTGATGCATATTCATTTCCATAAACATATACATGATATGACTAATTTAATTAATCATTTTGATACATATTGTACGGAGTAGTACACCATTCTTTATGCATTTTGTATCTTACCGAAATGTGAATATATAGATCTTAGCACTGCTCAGCATTACTGAACACTTCTGCACTATTACAGTAGTGTAGTAGTACAGTAGTGCCTCAAAATACAGTAGTGCTCAGTAGTACTTCTCTACAAGGGCATCTTTTATATAGGGGTGTTATCGTATAAATAGCCATTCCTTTTTATCTCGTAACCTAACAGAAATAGAATAAATCTAATAAAAATGAATAAAAATTAGTAGAAGCCTTTAAGAGCCAATACAAGTTGTATATGTGTATATAAATATTCTTTATTATATTCTATCAACGCAAACATATATGTATACATCCGCGCCAAGCGGTTTCACGAACTCTCACTCGCGCACGCAGTCGCGCTCACAGCAATAAATGAGACACTCGTATTCCAAAAGAACTTCTTCTTCTTCTGAGTTAATGGCGCTCGCCGATGAAACGACGGTGATTCCGGCCACCATCAAAGTCGGAGGGAACTTTCGATGCTTCTGAAAAGTTCAGGTGGATGAGCCACTTGTTGGGGGGTGGACACGGCTCAATTGGATACGAGCCACTCACAGCGCTTGAGACTACAAAGCTCCTAAGCACCGGTCGGTGTGATTGGTGGTGTCCAATCGAGGCGTGATCAATCGGGATCACCCCCTTGTTGGGCTGCGTTCAGAAACTTCACCTTGCGGGTGATTGCTAGGAGTCTGTGTGAGTGAAATGGTAGGGATAAGGTACCCTCTCTGGTGTGTACATTTCTGA